TTTTATTTAAGCACTGATAAATATAATAAATATATAAGTGAAGTTATAAATCAGGTTCGATAGGCAACCTGACACCTACGGTGTGTCACCTAACGCTTGAGAAATTACTTGTCATATGTTGCCTCCTGAAATGCCAAGCATAGGCAACCTAACATACGGCTCATAGGAAAGGGTGATTTTCCGGTGGGAACGAGGAAGGTACAAGTTAATTATAATGGACGGGAATGCTCTGTGATCGGTCAGGTATGGTGCAATGACCACAGAGCATTTACAAAATTGTGAGAGGTTCTTAAAAGTAACTTAAACTACTGAAGCTGAGGTTGTTGCCGTTGTTGACGTCTTTTTTTTTGGCATTTTTGTTATAAAATTCTCTGATAAGGTTAAGTAGTCACTGTATACAATAAAATTGTATGTAGGAAGTTATATGTAACGTATTTAAAGAAGATTTGGTTCTTAAATATCAATAATTCTAATCAAAACATCGATATGTTATATTACCCTAATATGTCATATTAAGCCAGCCTCCCCTAAGTTAGTTTTTTTTTAAATTAACTAACCAAAAAAACGAGCAACTTTTAACCTAACTTAACTTTATTTTTTAAAAATAACTTAACTTAACGAGTTAAAAAAAAATCATCAACTCGCCCATCCTTGATGTTATGCACAATTTGATTTGACTTACCTTTAAAAAGGCGAAATTAGGATCTTAAAAGTACCTGCTTATTTCCAGTAGTCAATGAAAAGATATTGCTATCATAATAAAAGAACTATTTTCAGAAATATAATACCTACTTCTATATTTTTTTCCTATTGCACCTATATGCTTGGTCTTATCAAATAATATTATTCTAGGCCTATAAGTGTAAAATTGATTCTATAACTGAGTTTTTTCAACTTGTTTAAAAACTAATTTGATTTTTAACGAGTAATCTGCCCAACTGATAATTGAAATAAGAATAGATGAAATGGAAATCTGAATGGTAATTTCAATGATAATGGCTATCTATGAATAGATACAAACACGATTAAAGATATTATACAAAACGTATATGTAGTATAATAAAACTAAAAAAAACATTATTATTTTCTACACGTTTCACTTTGTGTACTACACAAAGTGTGTCGTAGTACGCAGATTCTTAGGGCCTGAACCCCGAGAAAACCTTTACATTTTAGAGTTGGTTTTAGAGTTTTAAAAGGCTGGTGTTTTCATATCCGCAAATATTGCACCGTTCAAATAGGATCTGCAGTGTTGTTAGAGATAATAAGTACCTACCTACGTTTTGAAAGTTATCAAACATTTTCAAATACTTTTAGTTTAATTTGAAACATTGTATACAATTCTTCTGATAGTCACATAGAACAATACACAGAATTTGCTGAACAGTTACCATTAAAATTAGTGATGCACTAATGAATCGAGGGATAAGGGTTTTCAAGCACTCGTGAGAGGGATACCAGAAGTTTTAAGATTTTAAACAGTCAATATATATTTAATTACGTTAAGGGCGGACTACAGCAGTCATAATAAATGTGAAATGTTCCTTTTTTTTTTTTATCTGTTTCTATCTTTTTTGTTTCTTGTTTCATAATAGTTGTTAGTTTTACCTAAAACTTTTACCTTAAAAAAGTAAAAGCAGGTTAAATTATTCAATTTATAAAGGTGCTACTGGCTCATTAAAAAAACAAACTATATTCATTTTAAGTAAGTATAGTTGTATTAATTAATTTTAACAGCATATATGTTAACATAACATGGTTTAATACTTTAACAAAAGCATAAGGTTAAACATAGGTATTATTAAAATATATTTTGTATCATAATAGGCACTTATGTGTGTTGAAACAAATAAATTAATAATAATAAATATTATTTCACGATTTTAATGTCGTGAACAGCAGTACACGACTCATGGCCGCAGTTTTGACGTTTCGTTAGTTTGCAAATTAACCGACTTCTGCCATGGGTGGTGATTGTTGCAATGTGAGAGTTCACTAATAGTTTTATATCTGTATACTGTATGAGAATTTATTATTTTATTTTCAAATTGTATTTAAATTTCAACGAATGAAATGGTACTGAACTCGCATCTTAAAAAATACATTGGTATAGTACTGTTGTAGTTTGTAGGTACAGTAAAACATTCTCCAGTTAATTTGATCTAACGATTAAATCGTTAGGTCAATTATTAACCGGAACACCTATTGCTGTCCTAAAAAATTACTTTAGGTATACCAATGACTTTTTAAAGACGGAGTTCAATAACATTTCATTTGATGACAATGTACCTACAATTTAAAAAAAAAAAGTATGTGTGTTACCAGTACGCGCGCGGGAAGTTAAACTTCTTTTGAATGGTACACGTGAGTGAGTGAAAAAGAAAGAAAGGCATGGATAGACTGGGTAATGAGGATAATAAAGAAAGAAAAGAAACAATGTATATTATATTTTTTATATTTTTTTTTTAATTATTATTTTTTATGCTAATGATTGATTATCATTTTGCTCAATCGACTACTATAGTTATGATTGGCATACGATAACTGAAAAACGAAACGTACATTTGTGACTGAACATTATCCAAATATCGCTTAAAAATTGCATCGATTGTTGTGCCTGATTTAGTAATAAAAATAAATAATAATCGATCATTAATTATTCATATTAATTAGTATGGGCCAAGATAGATGAATCTGTTTTTTATTTTGCAACGTTTATATAATATTAACGACCACCACTTACCTCGCAACGCTTGTTTCTCTTTTGGATTAATTAATAATAACCGAACTACGAATTAAAAAACACTGTGCATGTGTGTGTGCTACGATATGACGTAACCGAACGACCGTAGACCGAACGGATTGGCGAACAACGACGACGGCGAATTCGCACACCTAGTTCGAACTCGAGATTATTATTTCGGTAATATTATATTGTAAATTATAATCATTAGGTAAAATAAAAATAGCTACTATTTTTACTAAATCCAGTCGTACGTAGTACGTACACAAATCCAAGTAACCATTAAAATTTAAAATATTAAAATAGGAACTACTTATCACTTAATAACAATATTATTATATTAACAATGGCTAAAAGCACAATAGATACGTGCACAACTTAGCCACCACGGAACGCGGGCCGCCGCCGCCACTTCCACCCACCCGCCAATCGAAAAACCGCACGACCTTGACCTTTAATCGCAAGTCGCAACTGCGCGTGTATGATATTATTATTATCATCGTCGTCGAAACCTCATCGGCTGTCACCACAGATATAAAATATATATCTGTGGCTGTCACCGACCAACATTATATATTTTACTAGCTGATCCCGTGCACTTCGTCGCCCGTTAAATGGATCAACTCAATACTACCTACTCAAACTTTGTTCAATTCATTAACGTGTATGGTGTTCAAAATTTATCTTATCTTTCCCGTTGCCCTGAATAAAAATTCTGAATCGCAGCAGTACATTATCAGGTAGGCAATCTACCTGCGGTAGATCGCGGACCCCGTGCTGTTTGTACGGAAGTGTATGATTTAACTCTAAAGTATCAAAGTTATACCAAGTTTATTTTGATGTAATACTGTGGATTAATATAATAAATTTGGTTGCTCGTAAAAAATCGCAACTCTTAAAAAAATTATGATTGTTGAACTCCTTTTGGGTGTAATTTTCTGCGGTAAGTGCAACTCTGCCACCCTGGTAAGCATTGTTCAATAATTCGATTTGATGCAAGCTTGTACCTGATCTGCCCGAATAACCAATGGCAACCAATAAATAAATGCTAATTTCTAATGTAGACTGTAACCAATGGCAACTATAAATAAATAAAAATAAAATTTCCAATTTCTATCGTGAATCTCAATGTCCCTGTTTCAGCACCTATTTAAAATGCGAATTTTGGCAAATCCTTTCTTAGCGCACGTCTATATTATAATAGCTATCTGTATGCCAAATTTCAGCCAGATCCGTCCAATGGTTTGAGCTGTGCGTTGATAGCAGTCAATCAGCTTACTGTTTTTTATATACAGATATGGTTGCCATGGTAATATGGACACACACACACACACACACACACACTGACATACATTCATTTTTATATATATAGATTGATATGAAATCTTGGTAACCTTAGTAACCATGGCAACCTTGGTAACCATGGTAACATGGACACACAGACACACAGACACACTGACACACTGACATACATTCATTTTTATATATATCACGTTGACTGCCACGCGGCCCCCGGCGGCCATAATAATATGTATCATTGGTGCGCCAAGCAAATTTTCTGGTGTCATTACAAATTTGTATATATACTATTGAATTGTATGTTTACTAAAAAATTCAAAAAAAATATTAAAAATATGTTTATTACATCAAAAAAATTGTAATTTTTCCAACTACGCCACGGCGCATTTTTCAGTTCATTATTGTAGCGCCATGGAAAAGCTAATAATATAAATCTAAATTCATTTACGGCAGCCCGCGGCCGTATGGCCTCCTAGGAATGATATGGTGCGGCAGCCGGCGGCCTAAAAATGATCGATACGTAATTATTTTTATGCGGCCGCATGGCAGTCAACGTGATATAGATAGATAATACGTAATATTATTATTATGTCATATTGACGTGGTCCGATTATAATATATAACATAATATATATACTGTAAATGTCACTACCATGACAATATTTATTTATTTACGGACATGTACGCTTTCGCGTTCGTACGGCCGTCCATTCGCTTTTTTCCCTCTCTACCCTGCGTAAAGAAGTATAACTTCAATAAAATAATAAAATTCCATACAACGCATAGTTATATAATTATTAATGAACTCGCAGACTTTAGGAATACATTGGTATATTATGTTGCAAGTAATATACTAGGTATTTGGTATATTATACTCTATAAGAGTGACGACGATTATTTAACAAAATTACTAAAAATTCAAAATAGTACAACGTCAACGTGCTTCGGTTAATATGATCTAACGAAATGTCGAAACTTCAGCCTTGACGCTTATCAATTTTTTCACCATCATATAATTTTTCCGATCAGTTTCCCTTTGTGCCGCCTGCCGGTTGATGAAAGACGACGACCTTCGCATGAAAGGCGCCGGATTGGTGGACACCTTGTTTGACCGACTCATGTATACTTTTATGATCTGTTTATGATTGTTTATCATCAAATTCTTAAACACTTTCGGTTTGCAACGATGAGCTGCGAGTCGTCTGTTCTCTGTATCGATGGAGGCCTCGGGTATCGTCCAATTCATGTCACCGCTGTGAAAGCCCATGTCTCTCGCTTCCGCCGTGATATCACTCCGAAATCCCATCGATGTTTGCAGGTGTCCAGCGTTACCGCCCGGACTGGAGGTCTAAGTATGGAGAATTTACAGGTAAATATTACGTACGTAAAATAAATTAAATCGGCAAATTTCTTAAATCATTTTTTTTTAAATTTTGCCCTCCCTTCCTATTATTGAAATTATTTACGCCAAAATTAATTGTTGGTATAATTTATAATTAGCATCATTAGCAATAATGATTTATCATTTAAAACCGGGAAGATCAAAATGACCATGATTTTAAATTAATTAATAAGTAAATATAAAATATAATGTAAGTGTTCAATATACCCTAAAATTCAAACTGTGTAATTAAGTAACAATATTATCAATCAAATGTATTTAATGCTGCAGAGTTTACCCTTTAAAAATGTTTAAAAAAAAAAAATACTGTACCTAGATATAGTCTTAAGGACTACCGAAATATTATTTAATTCGTTTAGTAGGTATCTAAATTATTACGCTCCTTAAAACATTTAAAATGAAAGAGGTCACTCGATCACTCGATTTCAACAACAGTAAGAAACCTCTGTAAAATGTACGTTAATCTTTACTCACCGAAATCACATTCTACCTACCGCGTACCTGTTGCAGATTCAGGAAATCCACTTGAACGGCCACGTCAACCCTAATGGTCGGGTGCCCCTTGTACACTACGCCACCGCTATCCGACGACTGTGGTTTGGCGCAGACGTCTTTGCCGTCTATGCCGTACAAACTGTCGAAGGATAATAACGTCCTCGACGAACGAACCTGTTGATGGTGACAAGTCGGAGAGACAGCTACGGAAGTGTGTTCGTCGGTGATGGCCTGTATGTCAGTGTTTTGTTCGTCGGTGGACTGTTCTTCGGAAACCGTAGGTGAAATTACGTGCGCATTGATGGGTTTGCTGTCCAGGTGAGGATTTACAACCTTCGCGATCGTGTCGGTCGTCTTCACAGCTGGACAGATTTTCACCGCCACCGAATGACGGATTTCCGCCACGTCCACTGGTCGGCTTGGTGAAATCGATGTGTCGCTATCACTATTGAATGTCCACGATGAGTCTGAACTCAGCACTACGGCAGAGGGGCTGTCAGGTGTTTTTATTAAGCTAAACAAATGTTGATTATCCATTTTTAAAAAAAAAAAAATTAGTCGTGACGATAACCGACAAAGATACTCGTAATATTATACAGGTAATAGTCGACACGAATGTATAAACAACGTAGGTAGGTACACAAGAATGAATTACATAGATGTCTATACCGAAAAATGTATAATATTGTATGTTAATTATCGTTTATCATATTATAGTAACTATCGATTAACTATCAGCCAGTAGGTCAAATAATATTATTTATACCGACAAATAAATCGTTTATTATTATAAATAACTATTATAATAAATGGTTATTGAAAAACCCCATTGGGCCATTTCTCAAGAGAACAAAATCTAACTGTTTTAATATTAACAGTATACCTAATAATATTATATTTGTTGTAAATGTATGACATTTTTTTTTTACTTTGTAGGTGGTAAGTAAAATACTAATACTATTAATGGCACTGTCGTCATTATTATTATGATATATTTTATCAAAGGTTAGGTTAGGTAGTAACTTTTCAATAAAACTTGCTTGTTCCTACATTTTATAATATTTCACTTAGTAACTTAATTAGATTGATTGTTCATTGGATTTTTTTCCGTTGGTCTGAAAAGTATTGCATAATGCGTAATGTTTACATAAATCTATTTGTTTAAACATCGTTTAATGGTATAATGTAATGAAATCAATTATACTGGTAACTATCTGGTAAATTACCGTTAAATATCTACCAAGCCCCATAACAACTTACTTTTAAATTTTAAATTATTTTGTTTAGTGTTGTGGCCATCCACCTCGTCGTAACATATAATATTATGTTAGACAGCCAACCAAAAGAGAATGGTGGCGGCCAATAGTTTAATCACAACACGACAATATTAATTATCAATATACGTAGGTATTTGAAGTTTTCTGGGATAATGTAAACACAGCATAACAGTATGATATTACGTATTAAAATAATTAACAACGATGATCTTCAATACGTGTTAATTGTGTTGGAGCCTGTTTTTCAAATTTTCCGCTATTCTATACAATTTGAAAATTATATTTTATATTTTATTTGTTACCTTAGTTATCGAAAGTTTTATTTAAATTTTTATTATTTTGTAATTTTGATTAAATATGATTAAACGGTGTGCGATATCTAAACTATAATTGGATTATAGATAAATGTATGTTGGTTATTACTTCTTAATAAATATTAAATATCAGTGTATGCGGTATTGAAAGTTAAAAGTTGTTGATAATTTCGGAATTGATGTATACAAGTGTGCGGTTTTGAACGTCTTTCATGATACAAATTCCGTCTCATAGCATCAATATTAACTGCACTTCCTGTAGACATGTATTATTCTTGTCTCATAATTTTCAACGATTTTAAATATTATTTTCTCACATGGCAGAGTTATTAACTGTTATTTACGTATATATACCTAAGGTTACACAGGTTTCTCTCATACTTATAGGTACTCGTCATTCGATAACTCTAAACCCAAAATACATAGTAAAGACATTACTATTTATTTTTACTATATTAAAACAAATAATAAAATATGTGTTTATTACAGATTATAGATATAATATTGTATTTGAGATCTCAAGGCAACCCAAAACCGGAGGCCCCTGATATTGCGCCACTGAGCATACTACACCAACAAATTAAAGACAGTCACTGTAAATTCCTTTGTTAATACCGAGTTGAACTTAACTTTGCAGCTTGAGTTTTCCATACACGCTTTCACCATCCTAACGAGTTTAGCTGGTATTCCAAGTTGCACCATTACATTCCATAACGTACTCCTAGCTATTGAATCATAGGCTTGTTTAAAATCTACAAACAACAGGTACACATCTTCATCAAATTCATGACTCTTTTCGGCTATTTGTTTGATGACATGTATTTGGTCAGTCATGGATTTTCCAGCTGTAAAACCTGCTTGGTATTCTCCTACTATCTCTTTAGCATACGGTTTTAGCCTATTTAAAATTATGTTCGAGAGAACTTTATAAGTTGTGTTAAGCAGGGATATACCTCTATAGTTTTGACAGTTCATTACATTAAATTGTTTTATTATATGAAAATTATGTTTTACAGTTGGTGTTGATGGAAGTTTTCAATAGAATTATGATTCAATAATTACTGAATTAATGATATTCAAGTCGCCTCAAAAATAATGTTATGATATTGCTATGGCTAATACCCAGACAGCAAAAAAATCTTGTTTCAGCATTGTATGAACAATTAACTTAAATAATGAAATTGAATGGATATGACATGCGAGTTGAATGCAAATTTTTTGATATCCATGCAATATATATGCCGGCAATTTGATTTGGCCACCTTAAATTGTGTATTTAATATTGAATTTACAATCATGCATTGATACTTAGTACCAATATTAAATGATTATTGAAAATAATCTTATATGAATATTGATTTAATAATGTTTAATATTCACAAATTATTATAATAGCATTGCTTCCTCAATATAATAATGATAATTAATATTCATTACTGACCAAATATAATTAGATTGATACTTAAAATGTTGTATTCAATATGCATCTAATATTCAATGTAGATATTATTCTCATATATGAACTTCATTTATTACCAATTAATTTATAAAAAGTTTCAATAATTACAATTTATTAATAGTTTTGTTATGATATACTATAATTTATACCTACAACCAGGAAAAATTTAATCCTCAGATACACAATCTTCAATGTCTTTAAGTTGGCCATTTTTAAATTTTGTTTCATTGCGGATCGCTTCTATAAAATAATAAAAGAATTTAAAAACAATAAAAACAGTTATACAATATAGTATAGGTACTATACTTATAATAAATTACTTAAGTTTAAAATAATGGAATTAATTAAAAAGTTGTTTATATAGTTAAGTTATTTATAAATATAGTATAAAATATATTCATCAACAGTAGTATGATTATATATATTGTATTTCTATACAAAAATATATGTGGGGGACGGAGTGGCCGAGCGGTCTAAGGCGTCGGCTGCGATGTAGCCGACACTGGCACGATACCTCGGTCATGGGCGGCATTTTTCTTCGGGCAAGTCACGGTGTCCGGAGAACAAATGCCGCCATCCCCCATCCGGGCATGTCAGATACCTAAGGGTGACCAATCAAAAATTCGGCCAAACCCAACACCTACCGACATAAAAACCTACAAAACCAAAACAGCTAATATGGCCATAGATGCCGGGGAAAAAAAAAAATAATAATATATGACGTACTACACTACTACGTATTGTATAATATAAGCTAGTTATTAGTTTTATTTATATATCTTATTAAAATTATATTTGAGTTGAGAGTTGAGAGTAACAAAATAGAATTTTAAATTTAATCGATATTTTATTAAATTGCTGTTTAAGCTAATATTTAATCATAAATTTACTTATTGTCTCAGTTAATGTGGTATATAGTAGGAATGGTGATATAATCATTAGTTATGGCACACATATCTCTATTTTTATTAAATTTGATGATTTTAATAAAATACAATTCTATTAAATACAATATACCTATATACAATATATGAATTATATTCTAATACTTAATAAAGTTGATTTTATTCTTTAATGTGCGTATTATGAAATTATTGATATTATAATAAGGTTTGCCATCCCATGGTATACTAGTTCACAATATGCTGTATACAGCATTTATAAAGAATTTCTAAACATACATATTTACTAACAAGTATATTATAATGGAAAATAAGTTATCGCTGTTATATTTTATATAATATCTTACCAAAAATAGTGGAACAGATATTTAACGAAGAAAAAGATGTTTTATTCCTAATGCCATGAAATGAATATTTGCATAGAAGCTCATCATTAAAAAACTTTTCAAATATCCGTTTAATTGAATGTTTTATGTCATTTCCCATTGACCATCTAATTTCAAGAATCTGAAAAATAAATAAAAATTTATAATGCATGAAAAAAATATACCTTTTATTTAATTTTTATTTATTAAAATGGAATTGTATATAAAAGATTAAAGATTAGAAGTATATATGAAACTATAAAATTCTTTTAATTTTAATGTGTTGACAATGTATATAAAACTAAAAAAACTTATTAGAAAATACATGGTTTCCATCACTCAAATAATAAAAATCTCACTTACTAATTGAGCCTAAATTCATGGTTTTGATCACTAATCAATTTTGCTTCCACTGTTTCTAATTCAACCTCTGTACTGATAGGCGTTTTAATTAATGGTTGGTTTATCAAAGATTGATTTTCCGAAAATGTCTGCAAAGATGTACTATTTACATTATTTGGTGTATCGATTTTGTGTTCAATTCTATCAAGTACATCAAACAACAATCTGTAGTCGTAACATAATCCAGCAACTTGTTTTTCAATAGAATCTAATTTATGCCCTAAAAAAAATAATTAAAATTGGCTTAAAAATGTATTTTATCTAAATTTAGTAACATTATAGGTACATAGGTTTAAATAAAATAAATATTTTAAATGTGTTAAATTAATACATATTATGATTATGAATTTACTTAAGGTTTTAATGACGCCCATTAAGCCATCGTTATTAGTATCATTATGTTGTAGAACCTGTTCAGGTTGTAGAATTCCTATTCCATCAATTGGAGAATCTAGACAATATGATATGTTTAAAAGTAATAAAGTAAAATAAAAAGTTATAAGTAAAAACATAATTATTGTTATCAATATTTATTTACTTGAAGAATCCTCCAGAAGTTTATCAACATTAAACAAGGATTTATTGTTATTTGGAGTCATAAATGATGATGTCGAAGGAGTCAACTTTACTAAAGATGAAGCACCATAACCTGTAATACTTTTATCAGATGAAAGAGACTTTGTGCCTGGCTCATATGAAACGTCTTTATCTGAATCATCTAAAAGTTAAACATATAAATTAAAATATATCTTATTAAGCTCATTATTGTTTACAATATTTATTTACCTGAAGAATCTTCTTGCAGCTTTTCAATATTAATATTAAACAGTGATTTATTGTTTTTTGAGTCATAAATGATGATGTTGAATGATTTGACTTGACTACAGGTGATGCACTTCGGGACTTTGTAAATGGCTCATATGAAATGTCTTTATTTGAATCATCTAAAATTTCAATATACCTATATAAGTTATAATATACCTTACTTAAACTTTTTGTGGACATTGAAGATATAAAAACATTAAAAAGAAAAGATATTTAGGACAAATTTCAGGAAACTGGAAACCATAATAAATTGTATTCTATGCATTTTATCAAGGAACAAATCAAATAATCTAAAAAAGTAAAATGTATACAGAGGTAACTTAGTTAAGCATTGATTAGTATAAAAACATACCTAATTCCGACTCACTCGATTTTGAATTGCTGCTGTATTGTGGGGGTTCAATTTCTACTGCCTTTTCATTTATTTTTTTTTAAAACTGTTATTAGAACTAACAATTTCCATTGAGCGTTTATTTTTTCTTTTTTTTTTACAACTATTTTCATGCTCAGAAATGTCTGGAGTGACAGTAGCGGTATTCAATTTAGACTGTGCTTCAGAGAGTGATGCTATAGTAATATATAATAACAATATTTAATAAATTAATAAAAATAGATAAGCACTTACTTTAAATATTTAAATATAATATATATAATTGTATAGACATTTAAGTCTTAACTATAACTTACCAAAATTTATTTTAAGCTGCCTCGCCTTAAATAAATCAAATTCAATTGTATTGCATTGAGTTCGTCTACTAATCAATTTATTTATACTTGCTGAAGAATGTACTCCTGGTTTGGGCCAAGCACATTTACCCAATAATGCATCATACCAACATGATGGAACAGCAGATACAGAATTTTCTTTAGTGAATATTACAATAGAGTACACCATATTGTTATACTTAAGATACCTACATAAATTAATAAAAGTTAGTACAATATATTGAAATAAAACTGTTTTATTGAATTTATACAATAGTAATACAATATAAAAATAAAATAATGTGTAATTAATGTTCATTAAGTTCTTAAATTAATAAGCTATTATTTTATCATAATTAAAAAGTGCAATTTAACATAACTCAATATAATATTTAAATTTAAGTTTTTTAATATATATTATATTTTTTTGTTGGTCAAATTTAATAACAATTAAAAACTTATTCATAAGTGTGTAATATAGGCATAGCAATATTATTATTACAGTCAGCAATCATATTATTATTATAGCTGCTCTGGAATAACCATAATATGTTATAGGAAGTAAATAGTATACCTAATATATATATAATCGAGGTTTTATTGTACAATAATATATTGTTGGACTAGGTAATTAATAAGTTTTATTAATATATAGTCAAAAACACCTATAAGCTGCAGGGATGCATGATTTTATTCAATAATTCAAGTAATATTCAACAATATTGAACCCAAACTTAAAATCCAACATTAAATAATCAACACCAAGACAATACTGCTAGAACTTTAACATATTAAATTTGAATGAAATGTCCATTTCATCTTAAATTGTCAATATTAATTTATCAACTGACAACCAATATCCATTTAATAATGACATTGCAGAATTGCTGTCTGGGTACTGATTTACTATTTTCTACTAACATTGGAAATATTTTACTTCCATTTTGTTCGTCAAAGGCACGCCCCTGTTGATAGATATAGTGATTTGTTTATAATTTATTACAATATGTATTTTGTACATGTACATGTACGTGTACATCAAATTAAGAAAATGGCCCAAAAATATTGTAGGAACACCCCGAAATACTGGTCTACGCACGCCTATGATATAAAGAAATATAGAGCTTATGAAAACCAGAAGTTTAATGTATGAATAATAAAAACATACTTCACAATTTAAACTTAGAGAAGATTGTGTTCGTACTAGAGTCTAGAGGTTCAAAGCAAGTTCAATCGAATAATAAATTATATGTATATATACTGTTTTGATACATTATTACGCAATTAAATGCAACCAATTTTTAAGCCGTTTACTCACTTACAGGTGTAATACCATGCCAGCAGTTTAATGTATGCCTATATTTAATAACAAAAATGTTATATTCAGTCTTAAATATTTGTTTGACCTATTTTCATGATGATCAAGTTAATTTAATAATTTGTCCCTATGCCTTGTTCTTGCACTGTTATATATACAATACTTTTAAACCGCTTCTATACCTTTAGTAGAATATTATAGTAGAATTATTATTGGAATTTTTTTATGATAATTCGATAAAATATGATAATATGAAATATTATTGTCGTAATTTCAGTTTTTGTTAGACTATCGTAACATACAACAGATTCACAGACTCAACATTTTTTTCACCCACATTCATATAGCATAATAATTCTTACTTGTATAAAGTAACCACTTTGCAGAGTGCCAGTGTAACAGTGTCTAAAATTTAAATTTATGAGCGCTAAGCGTAAGTATCAACTTCTCCACTTTGACACAGCGGTATTCGGTTATCAGTTATTATTTATCAAAATATCAATATTATGATTTATTACAATGACCTTAACGAGTTAAAATAAGACTTTTTATAATTTTTAAATATGCCGACCTATGGTTGTTGTAAATGACTAGGACAAATGCCCAAGTAGCCCCCTCCAAATGTTATCGGTGGCTATTATTTGATAGGTAGTAAATATAATATATATAGGTAAATTAGGTATTTTATAACAACATTTTGTGGCTATTTGTAATTTGTATTTAATAAATTTATTCTATTTAATATAATATTTAGCTTGTTCTACATTTTTCAAACCTATTTTAACAATATTAAACTCCACTATTCTCTATTCTGTTCCATAAGAATGAACCGCTCTTAGGCACATAGACTGAGCCGCCGATCACTTTCTGAATATCCAGACGATGGATATTCGTTCTGTTATTGGCCAACAGTCGTTGGTTTTCGGCACCGGTGCTGCCGCCGTGTATATAGAGAATCATAAAAACATATAGGTTTTGACCGGTTATTAAACCATAACAAAATGTAGTTACAAACAAACAAGTTAATAATTCGCAAAGGAAATATTATACGGTTTATGTATGATAATCGCTAGAATAAACGTATACCTACGCACGTAAGTAGAATCAAATCAGTGACAGTGTGTCAGTGTGATAATACAAATCACTATGTAGACACAGCTATATTTTCGTAGCGACTGACCAGCGGTGGTTACTATTGGAGGTGAGGGTGCGCGTACAAGCTAGTTTCGTTCAGCCGATAGGTTCGTTCTTAAAATGGAATAGCCATATAATTTATTAATAGTCGATAATAATATTAGTGTTTACTTATTTTTGATCATTTTGTCAAAATAAAATAAAATTACCGAGATTCATAGACATTCATCATTCGCTATTACCTAACCTATTACGTGCGACGTGGTCGAGGAGTGTCCTTTTCGTTTGCTTGTTGATATTTTAATTCAGTTAATTTGCTAAATTCTTTTACTATTTTTAAAATATTGATATAATAATGAGTGGAAGAAAACCTGCTGTGGCACCAACTAAGGTGATAGAAGTTGTATTACAATTTAAGGACCGAATCGTGCGAATTGATGAAAACGATGAAAAAAGTAAGTACATTATTGAGATTATTAGATTAAGAAACACATTTTCATGTAGGTTTAGGTAATTTGTCTTACATTTTATGGATTGAATATTTGCAATTGATTAATTAATCAGAGCATTTTTAAATTAAAATGTTCTTACAAAGTTTTATTTTAAATAATAATATATTTATTTCTATTGCGCTAGGATTAAAAAATGTTAGTTTTTACCACTAGGTACTCAAACTATAATTCATGTTTATTAATATTTTAAAATAAATTCTTTATTCTGTGTATAACATATTAAGAAGATTGGACGCCACAGATTTTAGCAAAATAAATCTATGAATGAAATATCCGCGTATTGTAGACAGTAGGTAATTTATAAATGTTTTACATTAGGTATTTAGGTACATTGGTAATATTGTAATTTATAGTAGATTAGTAAGCAAAGTAAGTTATTAATATAGACCAGGTCAATGCAGTGAATATACTGAGTTCTGAGGCTATATAAATAAATACAATAATAATAAATTATTTTATTCTAAATAAACAACGAGTGAAGGGGTGTTTAGCTGTATGTTATGGTACCAATACGCAGTGGAAAGATTGTTGTAATGCGTGCATGTAAGCACTGTAAGCACTGCTTACACTTTAAATGAAAGAAAAAATAAATTTGATCAAACACGACTAATAGGTACATAATAAATGATTTTTAAAATTTTAATTTTATTTAAAAAATATTTAAGTTATAGCTGGTAGTGGTTTTTGTTATTGTTTATTTGTGTCGTACGCTGTCTACTGATTACCAACTATTTTAAGAAAATCATCGATTGTAGGTCTATTTTTAATCCATTCTGTATTATGTTAACTGCATAATCATAATACGATATACAGTGTAACACATTCTGAAATTGCTTACGCGCAACTGTTGTTTTCGAATAGTCTATAATGCCATAGTGGGGGTCACGTATTTAACTAGCGTTTGTAAGCACATTTGATTTTGCTTACGCGAGAAACAAGAAGCGACCAGTACGTAGCCCGACGCGTTGTAGACTGACGTCGTTTTTAGTTACACTGTCACTGTCATTCGCCTAATAGACTTTTGAAGTATTTATACTTCAATTTCTTTATTTTCTCTAATTTGATTTGTACAACTAGTATATTTTTAAAAATATTAAAAATTTTAAAAGGATAACATTTTTTTATACATAATTTATAATTAGGTATTTAGGTATAGTACCTATATTCTAATCACTTTTGAAAAAAAAATTCACTGCTTACATCTTTTTAATACCCACGCCACGCCACTGATAGGAATATAACTGGCGACGATGGCGAAAAATAACGGGCATTGATAATATTCGTTATTAAATAATATTATAGGTATTTATATTTTATACGAATATGAAAACATATTCTATAAGAGTAATTAAAATTGAAATCAACTTAACTTGTTTAAATGTAAAATTAACTCAAGTTAATTTAAAGTTAATTTAAAAATTCCTTAAGTTAATAATTAAGTTAAAAATCATAAAAAAAATTAAATTATTAAGTTAAAAAGTTAAATTAACTTAACTTATTAACTTAACTTTAACTTATTAACTCGTTAATGCCCAGCCTTGTAATATAGCTAAGATTTTAAAATTGAATTCAAGATTTCCATAAATTCTGTTTAAAATAATTATTAAAAAAAATATGAGGGTAATTCCGTTTAAAAATTTTACGAATGGCTGAAGTTTTATTGTTTTACTGTTATAAATTAGATATTATTTACTGTACTGTCTGTACTAGTGTATTGTATATATTTTTTTATTGAGTAAGTATTTAAAAATGCAATAAATACAGGTCGCTTAAATACGTGCGAATATTTAAAATATTACGGTGGCAATGCGACATAATGTACGTGTAACGTGTATGCATTTTATATTATTTACGCGATCCACCATAGACGAAGGTTGAGAAAATAATAAACGTCGCTCCCGAAGGAGCACAATCGTTGGCCGGCCGCCGACGACGAGTAGTGGGCGCAACTAAACCCTCGAGTGCTTGCGCACCGCGAAAACACCGAACAGCGCGTTCTCTCGGTCGTTGTATACTTTTCGCTTTCGGTGTGACGGCCTCTTAAGGGTGATAAATAGGGCTAGGATATTAATGACCCAAAAAACCTAAAAAATGACATTAAAATAACCTAAAAATGACCTTAAAAAATGCCCAAAAGATAAAAAATGATTTTAAAATGTTATAAAAATGCATTATAATTATTAATTAATATTTCGGTAAAAAATTATTTAAATTATAATATTACAAAAAAATAGCAAAAAAAAATGTTAATTTAGGATTTTCTTGATATGAATAATAAAGTTTGAAGTTTGGACTTATCATGCAACGGCCAGCTTAAAATTTTCTGAAAAAAAAACAACAAAAATACTATAAAATAAAAAATATATACGTATATTTTTTTTATTCTGAAAACTACGTTTAAATTGTATTGTTGCATTGGACAATCAGTAGCTCCTTCAAATTTTCAAATACAAATGGCCGCCGATTATCTGCTAGCGATGTTTTGTAGCATGAAAAACTTCTTTCCACACCCACAGAAGTAATCGGAGCAAATTCCATGTACGTGATATCGTCGATATTGAACTCATCAGGGAAATGAGCCGTGTCTGATTCATTTCCATCAATTATTTTTGATATTTTACTTAACACACTACTACACACTGTACTCTCCACATCACTGTCATTTAATTTAACGATTAAGATAACTCGAGGTATCGAAGATTATTCTCTATACTATCTCTATAATTGAAATATTGAATATGATATTATTTCTGTTACAAATTCAAAACTTTTATCGAGAACATCTAGTGTAAATGAAAATGTATAAAAATATTACCTAGATTTCAAAAAAGTATAAAAAATGCCAGTAAAATTGAAAAAATGACCTAAAAATGATAAAAAAATGACCCTAAATCCTTAAAAGTACAAAAAATGCAAAAAAAAGCAAATTAAAAACTATAAATTTGGACTCTTATATGACCAAATCACATTTTGTGCTTGAAAAGCTATATCCTGTAAATCCTAAAAAAAAATGCAAAATCCTATACTATCCTAGCCCTAGTGATAAATATGTCTTATGGATGTCAAGTTTAATAAAATAATAACCACTCGAAGGCATATGATTTTAAATAGTAAAATAAGTATACCATTAGAAATATTTGATATTTACTTGTATTATGTTACACATTATATTGATTTATTTCTTAGAAATCGTGTTTGCTAGTAATTGCGTTTGGAATGAAATAAGTGAACAGCTTGATAACCGTATGTCTGGAAAGGCTATATACACATTTGTGTTTGAAGGAAGATACTCTGTTAAGGAAAAACTAGGATTTTCTACTCCAAAATCTATTTCAGAAATAAATATACCACGTCAAGTCTCAAATGAAGCAAGTAAGTAAAGCATATGGGAATATACATCGTAATAGATAATATTCAGATAATGAGTTACGTATTATTCATACAATTTTAATATTAGAAATACATAAAATATTACGATAATATTGTTAGTTTATATGAATTTACAGTAAATGATATTACTAGCAGCGATAGTAGCGACCAGTCTGAAATGCCATCAAAAAAATTTGTTTTTACTTTTTCGGTAGATGAATGGAAAACAATTCAGCCACAAGAAATGAATTATAAAATGATTGACAAAACAAGACCTATGCAAAACACCAGGTTATAAAAATTTTAATTTGAGTTTAATTGAATTCTAAGTCAATTGTTTATTTTAGATTGTATTATGTTTTGCCAAAATCTAATTGGACTCCTATTATGGCTGAACATTTTTGGGAACATACTAGTTTACCATGTTGTTTGTCGTTCAAAAGAGCAAAAGTAACTCCTGATGGTTATAACTACGTAGTAGTTGTTGCACGATGCACTGTCTGCAAATCACATTTTAAAGGAACTATAGCTGAAAGACCATCAGACAGTTCTAGGTAATATTCTGTTATCAAAAAAAAATTTACCTATTAATGTTAAATTTCTAATGTTGGTAAATATTGATCATTTTAGAGTGCTAATGAACTGTATTTACACTGGTAATTATAACGATGAACATAAAATTTCACGAAAGCGACGATTGTTAGGACCTACGATAAGTAAATACACAACATCCGTTGTTAAGGAAGGCATATCATGTGAAACCACTAGGGAACGAGAAGCTGCTCGTTTAATGAAAATGGGTGAGTAAAAAAAAATAACTACTTTATTCATTAATACCAAACAACTTAAAGAGTTAATTATATATAGTATTTATATATTTTATTATTTTATAATTGCTTCAACAATAAAGGTTATGAAAATTAAAATTTTAGATTATGTGTGTTTTTTTTTTGTATTCTGTCACTAAGTGTCATAACTTTTTAGGATAGTAAAATGCTTGAATTTTCTTCAACTGTATATTTTCCGATAGCAAAGTCTAGTCGATACTTTAGGTGGTCAAAAGTAAAAATTTTCCAGTAGTTTTAAAAAGTGCCGTGATAATAACAAATGAAGAAAAAGGTGGGCAAGTGGATGTCGCTCTGCTGTACTGTAGGTTACAAGTTGGTCACTGTATAATGGATGGTATTAAATTTGAATTCAATGATATAATATCATTGTATAAAAAAAAACGATTTTGAGTGGAGACGGTATGTCAGTATAGGTTTAAGACATATTATATACATATCTATAGTATTAAAAAAAAATATTGACCTATAATAGCTACATATTAATATTATACTAAATTCCAAAATTAATCATATCACAATATCCAAAAACAAACAAACCGTGATACTATCATAGATATATAATAGTACACTTTAGAAGTTTCAAGTACCCACGAATAATATTATACAATCATAACAAAATAACTAAAATAGTTATTCTAGGTTTTTATGTAATTTCGTCCAAATTTGAACTTAAAATTACTATAAAAATAAATTGTGATTGTGTATTTTTTAGATTTTTTGGTAACAGAATTAACGACTTACATGGAATATTGTTTTAAATTTTCAATCCTTAGATATAAAAGTTGAACATTTTATAAATTTTTTACTACAAAATAATTATTCAACTTTAAATTCGATACATTTTGTCAATATTTGTTCTTTAAATGCTTATAAAAAAAAAACCGTGCCTATGTATTTTTAATATTTTTCAACTGCTATTGTAAAAATATATCAGTAGTCTTGTATTAAATTTTTACACTTTTTGGCACAACAGATAAAACTTTATTGATATTTATAGAAAAAAAAACTAAAAAAATTTAAAACTGTAAATGTCCGTAAACAGCTCAAAAAGAGTCAAAATATTTTCAAAATTGTATGGTGTATAAAAAACATTCTGTGAAGTTTTCATGTATTTACAGTTATTCGTTTTTGAATTACAACAAATTAAGAAAATCGCTACATGAGAAACCGAGTAAATATCCAATATTGTAAAATTATGATCTTTAAACGCTCATAAAAATTTAATTTGACTTTCCAGTAGAGATTTTGAAGTTTGAAGTTCATAATTTTGCAACACTGGATATTCTCTCGATTTCTCATGTAGCGATTTTCTTATTTGGTTGTAATTCAAAAATGAATAATTTCACTGCATGTTTATATTCTAATTTCTTATATACCATATAATTTTGAAAATATTTTGATTCGTTTTGATCTATTTATAGACACTTTCAGTTTTCAAAATTTTTTAGTTGTGTGACAAAAAGTCTGAACATTTAATACAAGGTTTCTGACATATTGATAGAACAGAAGTTGAAAAATTTTAAATTCAAATTTAATACCATCCATTATACAGTGACCCACTTGTAACCTACAGTACAGCAGAGCGACATCCACTTGCCCACCTTTTTTTGTATTAAACTTAGCTTTTTTTTATAATATTAAGAAAGTATAAAAGTATAAAGTATAAAGCAAAAATAATAATTTATTTTATAATAAATTATACTTTATATTTTTAAATATGTTTAGGTGATTGTGAACCACCTATCATTCCAAGTGGAAATTCCTTGCGGGCTTTAAAGTGTAGAAAATTAGCATCTGAAAGACGTCATGTAGATACTTTAACATCCCTAGTTCTCATGGCAAAAGAAGAGGAATATAATAATATTTTACATGATATTGGATGTAATCCATTTTTTGTGCATTACTTCTGTTCTGAACAAATTAACATTTACAGACAATATTGCCGCAGTGTAAGATATCCAAAGCTAGTAATTGATGCGACCGGTTCAGTAGTGAAACCGTTTAAAAAATTGAATGCTGTGAAAACTAATTCTATTTTTTTATACGAAGGTCTTGTTTATGACGATAAAAAAAAATATAGTTTTACAGTTACAAATATGCTGAGCGAACGGCATACGAGCGTTGCAATTTCTAATTGGCTTTTTAATTGGTTAAGCAGTGATATACCTATTCCAAAACAAACAGTGTGTGATCACACAGTACTCGACCCTCCAAGATTATGTTAGAGCATGTGCAAGTCTACTACATGGAGATGTTCCATTGAAATCTCATTGGGTTCCCAGATGCTTTGTTCGAGTAGATATTGCACATTTTATAAAGACTATTAGCAAATGGATACCATTAAAATCTGTTGCACGAAGAGTTCGAGAAGTAATTCTTCGAGCAATGGGATTTTTAATTCAAAGTCAGTCACTGATAGAAATGCGATCGATTTTTCTATCATTGTTTGTAGTCTTTACAAATGAAACCGACGGCACTGATATTCATGGCGAAGACACTCCATGTGAAAAACATCGACAAAATTTGATTTCAGCTACATCATTGGGTTTTATTGATTTTCAAACTCAGTTTGATGAATTAATCGCCATGATAGAATGTGAGGATGATGCAAGACAAATCATCGAAGATGAATACGAACGGCAGAATGAAGGGCTGGAGTTATTTGAAAATCCATTTGAATCATGGACTAATGAAATTTACAATGAAAGTAAAATGCTCATTAAAGAAGGAACCGGAATTAACCCATTATATTTACCAAATTTAGTTCCACATTTAATAAAATGTACCAAGCTATTACCATTATGGTCGGGAGTTATGGTACCAATTTTTGGTTATGGAGAAGAGGTATCAAGCTCAGCAGCTGTTGAGTCGAGTTTTAAAAAACTTAAGACCGTGACATTAAAACACGTAGACTTGCCAACAAACTTAGAAAGATTTTTAGAGAATCATATAATGTCTCTAAAAAGCTCATCTATGTTGCGAGCAGCTAAATATCACACACCGGTATCATCTCCAAATGATGAAGAAAACCACGAAGAGTTAATTTCACACCCAGAATTAGAAGTAACAGCAGAATATTATGCAACTCTAAGTAAAATACCGACGCAATCTCCAGTTTCAATAAGATGTAATGATGACGAAGACCATGCCATATATCGTCACCATAAGTCGTCTTCTGATGAAGAAGAATTAGTAGACTATAATTCTGATGATATGTTATATATTCCAAAAAGCAAATGTTCATTATGCAGTACAGGTAAAAATTAATACAATACAGGGTGATTTTTTTATCGAAGAACACTCATTATTTCAAAAAGTATTAATGTTTAAGAAAATATTTTTTTACATAGTTTCAAGTTGTTAAAAAACAATATTTTTATTAAAAAATTATATTTTTAAATATTTTTTATCCTTTTAATTTTTTAAGTTTTTTACTTTTTTGAATGACAACATCTAATTTTAATTTGATATTCAAAAACAGAATATTTTTCTGATTATTTTAATACATAAAAATTGAATTTAGGGCAAGTAGTTTATGAGTTATAAGTATTTAAAGTTTAGATGAGCGGAGTAGAGTGGTACGGGGTTACCCCGCGAAATGTTTGTCCTCTACTCCGCTCATCTAAACTTTAAATACTTATAACTCATAAACTACTTGCCCTAAATTCAATTTTTATGTATTAAAATAATCAGAAAAATATTCTGTTTTTGAATATCAAATTAAAATTAGATGTTGTCATTCAAAAAAGTAAAAAACTTAAAAAATTAAAAGGATAAAAAATATTTAAAAATATAATTTTTTAATAAAAATATTGTTTTTTAACAACTTGAAACTATGTAAAAAAATATTTTCTTAAACATTAATACTTTTTGAAATAAAGAGTGTTCTTCGATAAAAAAATCACTCTGTATAATGTTTAATTCATCAATTGTTTTATAGTTTAACTTCATAACAGTTAATACTAATACTGTTAATTCAAAAGACCCGAATGTTTTGTCTCCAAGTCTCCAAATTACAACACAAATTTGTCTTGAAATGCATAACATAACAAATTGTAAAAAACAATTACAATTAACAATTCACTGTTTTAAAATACTCATAACTTGTCTTAAAATTAAAATATAAATAAACCCTACGAGGATAATATTCTAATATTCTTACTTCTAAATTTGATCAATTCGCTCCAATAATCATCATAACAAAGCTAAATCAATTATCCAGAACGGAAAATTTGCTCTTTTAGGCGTTTGTAAGACGGAGACAATACATGCAGGTGCGGTATCCTCTTAAGAAACAGGAATCTTTTTGATTATAAAATGGTTGTTTTAGCTTATTTAAAAAAAATAATAGTTTTTGTATATAATATAATACAATTGTATTTACAAATTAATTTTAAGAATATTATACAATTCCCAGCTTGAGATTTAAATTTCTGTTTAATAATTTTATTTTATTCATTCCTTAACATTTTCAGGAAATCCTCCAAAAGTTGGTGCAAATAAATGTTCTAATTGTAAAAAACTGGTATATACCTTTTCAACATGTTCAGTTGAAAAGCCAGGAACACAAGATGATCGTTTATGTATGGTGTGCTCTTTATTAGAAGAAGATAACATAAGGACTGAAAATAATGCTCAAGAAAAATGGAATCGAAAAAATAAGAAGCAGAGAAAAAACAATTCCTATCTAACTCCAAATCCCCATTTAAGATATTTGACCCTGACCAAGTCAAATAGTAAGAGAACGCTGCCAGTGTTAAAAAATGGATCAAGGTTTGAAGAACTGAAAGGATGCAGAACAAATGCATTTGAAGGGAGATTTATATTTAATAACACGTGCGCATTTGACTCATTGGCGTCACTTATCATGGTATGTAATTTTATATTTGATTCAAAATATTAAATAATTTTATCGTGCATATTTATTAAAATATATTATATTATAATTTATAATAATGAGTTGGTAATATAAATATCGTACAAAATGTACCCCAACATTTAAGAATAAACTTTAAAAATAAGTATATAATATGTTTAACATTGTTTATATAGGTAATAGTTATTTAAATAAAACTATATATTATGTAGTTAGGCTATAATAATACCTAACCAAAAAAAAATTAATACCTACACTTTATTAGAATTAATATATCAAATAAAATTTTAATTTTTTTTTAATTTAGGTATCATATTGTGACAGTCAAAAATATTCAGAAATGTTGGATATTTCTGAAAAATCAGATTTTATAAACTTTATTTGTAAAATTTTGAATTCTGGGATAACATCTGCATCATATTCACATAGAGCTGATTTAATTATAAACAATTTGACTGTTGAAATAAAAGAAATGGAATATGCCACTACATTAGTTGTATGTGCATCTACTATTGGCCATGTAATTGACTCTTTGATGGAGAAGTATCCATCAGCAAAAGAAATTTCTAACTGTCCAGTGTGTAAAAATATCAATGAACGAAAAATTATGCATTTCACATTCCAAATTAATGATAACGATAATATTTCTAAATTACAAAATTTCTTTGATGAGCGTTTAGAAAAAGACTTTTTAATTTGTGGCCATAATGATTGCAAAGGTCTTAAGACAGTCACTACTGACATTTCGGAAATGCATATATTTATTGATATTCTTATTTGGGAAGGTAAATAATATATATATATTTTTATAACAATTTAATATTTGATTGACATATATGTTAAATAATTGTTTTATTTATGTATTAAAATATGTAAATAGGTGAAGAAGCCATTTCCAGCCAACGCAGTAGTGAGGCAGCAACAATTTTTAAGATAAAGCTGTGTGACATACCGGAATTAATAACAGTAAAATCCACAGTATATGAACTAAGAGGTGCTTTAGCTTTTCAACGTCCTAAAAGTTCGTTGAGAAATTCTGTTGGGCACTATACAACATACACAAAAAGAGGATCTAAAAATTGGGAGCTTTATGATGACCTCAAGAAACTTCCTGTCCAAGTGAAAGAGCAGACAATAGTTCCGGTCGAATTTTTGTTTTATTCTGTTTAAAGAATATTATTATTTTAATTATTCAGCGAAAGAATTTTTTATTTTAATAAAGTTGAGTTTGTTTCTTTTTATATTATTTTATTATTTTTGTAGAGTTATATTTAGTTATATTCAAAATTCTTGAATTTTTAAAAGACAAGTGTTTTTTTTAAGTTTTTTTTAAAATTGAAACTGGGTGAATTTTCTTAGGTGGGAGATATATAGCCATTGCGCTTTGCAGATTTTTTTTACTGTAGAAGGACAGTGGGCAGTGTTGGATCTTAACTTTTTAACAAACGGGGAAAATGAAAAAAATACTCCCATTTCAAGGAGATGACTAGAATTAGTATTTTATATATTTTTTTTTAAAAAGCACAGTCGCACAGTATTGTTAGGACCAACCATTTAAAAATCCGTTCACAAAATAGGTACTGGACCAATAAAGTACATATTTACCACAAATAATTTAAACGATTTAAAATTAAAAATAAAACATTTAAAATTTTAAACTGATCAAGTAATAGTTTTAGAAAAACTTATTAATGGTGTATTTAATGATAAAATCTGTGGTCAATATTTTTAAGTTTCAGGTTTAGAAAAAATAATATTGATGAAAATAACATAAATTCATTATTTATTAACTAATATAAATTAGGTCAATTGCCTACTTTTAGTATAAAAATCATAATGTAAAAGAACAATACTTAATTTACAATATAACAATATTATACATTTTTAATATTTTTTAAAATCAAAACTTACCTAGATATGGAAATGCACCAATAATACAACTAAATACTGAAAATTGTAGTATAATGACTATGACTTATGGATTAAATGTTTTTTACACTAAAATATCTACATTCTACATTTTCTAAATTTCCAAAATAATAAGAACCCGGTTGTATTTTTGACATCTTGGACTTTGAAAATAAATTAGATGAAGAATACAGTTGAAAAAAACTAATCTATAGAATATAAATTTCCTTTTAAATTATTTTATTATAATATGTAAGGCATAATTATCAATCTGACTTAAGCTACGTATCAATAGGATAGTATTTTTATTTTAACCAATGCCTCTCTGCAAAGTGGGTACTTTATACAAGTAAGAATTATTATGCTATAGGAATATGTACGTAAAAAAAATGTTGAGTGGCGAATCTGTGACATGTTGCATTGTTGCCCTAGTCTAACAAAAAGTGAAATGACGCCAATAATATTTAATATTGTCATATATTATGGTTTTGAGTACTAAATATTGGCGCAAGAAAATTGCAAAAAGTCAAATTTTGAAGGTGGGTGGGGCTGGGGTAACGTTACCCCAGCCCCACCCGTGGAAAATTCGACTTTCCGGGAAAACCGTTAGAGCAGGAATTCCGGGGTTTGCGGCAGGAATTGGCAGGAATTGAGCACTAAAAATTGGCGTTGGAAAAAGTTAAAAAGGTCGAATTCCGACCTTGGGGGGTTGGAAAAACGTTTCCCCCGCCACAAATATAGTTTTTTAATTTTTACGGGGGCGGTTTTTGAGCAGGAATTCCGTGGTTTGCGGCAAAAATCGGCAGGAATCGAGCACTAACGTTACCCCAGCCCCACCCGTGGAAAATTCGACTTTCCGGGAAAACCGTTAGAGCAGGAATTCCGGGGTTTGCGGCAGGAATTGGCAGGAATCGAGCACTAAAAATTGGCGCAAAAAAAATTGCAAAAATCGAATTGGGGGGGGGGGCGGGGTAACGTTCGTTTTCAAACTCTCATAAAAATTTAATTTGACTTTTTTATAGACATTTTTTTTTTGACAAATTTAGTAAATCTTATAAGTATTGTTGTATTACATTTTCATATCTTAGAATTAAACAGAATCATTTTTATGAATTTCTAACTCTAAAAAATGTTCGTGATTTTTCCATATTTTATCAATTTTTGAACTTAAAATACTTTTTAAAACTTTGACTAACGATTTTTAATAGTTTTCATCTACCTTGGAAACAATATAGCGGGAGCCTTGTATTAAATTTTCAAGTATTTTTACTCAACAAATAAATTTTTATTGATATTCATAAAAAAAAAAAAACTAATAAAATTGTAAACTGAAAATGTCCCTAAACAGTTCAAAATAAATCAAAATATTTTTAAAATGTTATCGTGTATAGAAAATGCAAATATAAACAACCACTGAAAATTTCATGTATCTACGGTCATTTGTTTTAAAGTTACACCAAAAACCAAAATCGATTTTCTCGAAAACAGATTTTGCGTAAAAATTCCAGTTTTTCCTTAATTTTTCTTTTGTTTTTCCTGGCGCATACTTAATGTCTTAAAGTTTCCTTCCTAAATTGACCAATTTAAAAATATGAGTCGAATTATGTTCCTTTGAATATTTGAAAAATTTTTGTTGAAGCAAATGTAAACTTGCCTCAGACTTATGTTCGTAAATACTCAGTAGTTTCTCCCTCATTTCCAATGCAAGCTCACAGTTAATCAAATATTGTAATGGACCATCGTCACTGAGGTAACTATTATTTTTTGACATTTACCGTTTGCCTTTAGCCAAGCGCTTGTATTCTTTTCCAACGTATTTTGGCATCCTCGTTCGTCTCCGTTTCCGAAGACTTTTTGATTGTTGGTCTTGGTTTAGTCCAATCACCTGAAACTATAGCACCTAACTCCAATGCATTAAGTATATCCTTCATCTGGAATTTCCATAACGGTCAGTTTTCGGCACATAATTTTGTTATCTTCACCGAGTATTCCATGACCGATGGTTTCCGTATACTTGACCTGTATAACAATTTACCAACAAAATGTTATCTATGCACACTGATCCGCCGTTTTCCCATAACCTGTTGAAAGTGAAGCTTGACGGACTAAAGACTTTAGTATTAATATAACAAGTAATAACACGACAATATGATTATGTACAAGTATAATATATAATAACGTAATTCTGGACAACTAAACTGTGACTGTACACACACACCGTATACGCCACTGTACGACGGTGCCTCCGAAAGTGAGTATTACATACATCAAATCAACAATTTATTTGTGTAAATTTTAAATTAGGTTTATATTGGTTTTTAACAAAAATCTTGGATTAACTTCATTCGACAATACGTAAGCAACTAGCACGTGGTTACTAATTTCGATGCTCCATATCAACTGATGACAAAATATTCTATTAACACGGACGAACATAATAAATTTAATAGAATACCTACGTGTTAACATCATAGACATATAAAATATAATAAATTTAATTATTATAATACACTAGCTGATCCCGTGCACTTCGTTTGCCGTTAAATGTACCAACTCTATATGACTCAAACATTGTTCAATGCGTTATTTAATATTCGGTGTATGATGTTCTAGATTTATCTTAACTTTTCTGTTGCCCGGAATAAAAATTCTGAATTGCAGCAGTACATTATCAGATAGGTAATTTACCTGCTTTAGATCGCGGACCCCGTACACTTGTACGTAAGTGTATGATTTAACTCAAAAAGTACCAAAGTTATACCAAGTTTGACGTTTTTACTTAATTCCACCTACCTTTAAATCCTAACCTAACATAACCGTACTAAAATCCGATGAATAAAAAAAACCAAATTTAACCCTTTTTAAATTAGCGTATCTTCTTCCCATAGGTCTAATATACACACCGTCATTCATTTATATATAAGATATATTTACAAAAAATAATAATACAAATCAACAAACATTAACGATTAACCAATAGCAACCAATATAATATAATACACCATAGAGTAAATAAAGACAACGGTATCGAGTTCAAATCCCAGACATCAATAAATAGTTTTTGCAGTTTTTCTAATTATTTGGTTGACTTTTTAAAAATTTTCTTCCTTAAAAACCTTCACCTGGCAATTACGAACATCTTAAAAAAAAATTGAGCAAAATCGGCCCAGCCGTTCTCAACTGATGCAATTTCGAATTTTTTGTCTCCATTTTTATATATATAGATTATAATATTATCTGTGGTATGTCTATGGTTAACATAATATGGTTTAATACAACAACATAAGGTTAAACATAGGTAGTATTAAAATATTGTAATAATATACTTATGTGTGTTAAAACAATTAAATTAATAAAAATAAATATTATTTCACGATTGTAATGTTGTGAAAAGCAGTAGGTACAGCAGGACTCTCGGCCGCAGTTTCAAAATTTCGTTAGTTAAAATTATCCGGCTTCTGCAATGGGTAGTGGTCGTTGTACTGTATTACAATATTAGTATAATATTACTATACCAATTACCAATGTCGGAGTTCATCAATAATTATATACTGTAGGAGTTTATTATTTTATTTTTGTAAATTGTCAACAAATGAAATGATAATGAACTCGCAATTTTAAAAAGACATTGGTATCGAACTATTGTAGTATGTACATGCTCCAGTTAATTTGATCTAACGATTTAACTAGTTAGTTGATTAATTAAATCGTTAGGTTAAATTAACCGGAACACCATATACTTTCATAAAATACTACTGTAGGTACCTACCAATGTCTTTTTAAAGTTGGAGTTCATTAACATTTCATTTGATGACATACTGAACAATTTCAAAAAGAAAATAATAAAGCCCCATACAGTGTATAGTTATATAGGTTATATTAATGAACTCAGACTTTAAAAATGCATTGATATATGGTACAGTAATATACTAGGTATTTGATATATTATAGGTACTCTATAATAGTGCCGACAATTTAACAAAATTACCAATACTTGAATACAGTATAACGTCAATGTGCTCCGGTTAATTTGATCTACGAAATGTCGAAACTTCAGCCTTAGAGCTTATCAATTTTTTCACCATCATATAATTGTTCCGATCAGTTTCCCTTTGTGTCACCTGCCGGTTGATGTAAGACGATGACCTTCGCAGGAAAGGCGCAGGTTTGGTCGACACCTTATTTGACTGATTCATGTATACTTTTATGATATGTTTATCTTTGTTTATCATCAATTTCTTAGCAATTTTTGGTTTGCAACGGACGGCAGCGAGTCGTCTGTTATCTCTATCGATGGAGTCAATGGAGGTCCCGGGTATCCTCCAATTCATGTCACCTCTCTGAAAGCCCATGTCCCTCGTTTCCGCAGTGATACTACTCCGAAATGCCATCGGTGTTTGCAGGTTTCCGGCGTCACCGCCTGGACTGGAGGCACGTCCCTAATGATGTGAAATTTACAGGTAAATATTACGTAAAATTCAGCAAATCATCAAATTGCTTAAATCGATTTTTTTTTAATTTCACCTCCCTTATTTTTATTTAAATTGTTTACTCCGAAATTAATTAATGGTATAATTTACAATTAGCATCATTAGCAATAATTGTTTATCATTTATAACCGAGAAGAACAAAATGACTATGATTTAAAATTAATTAATAAGTGAATATAAAATATAATATAAGTATTATAGTTAATTATAATCTAAAATTCAAACCGAATAATTAAGAAACAATATTATTCATCACATGTGTTTAATACTGCAGAGCTTACCTTTTCAAAATGTTTAAAAAAAAAAATACGGTAGATATGCCTATATTAATTATAGTCTTAAGGACTAAAAAAATATTACATTGGTTTAGTATTTATGTAAATTATTACCCTTGTAAAAACATTTAAAATTAAAGGAATCACTCAGCAGTCAGCACTTGATTACAACAATAGTAAAAAACCTCTGTAAAATGTATGTAAATCTTTACCCTTACAATTTACCGACATAACATCGCTACCTATGCTTACCTGTTGAAGATTCACGGCATCCACTTGAACGGCTGCGTCCACCCTAAGGGCCACGTGTCGCTTGTACGCTACGCCACTGATATCCAACGACCTCGGTTTGGCGCAGACGTCTTTGCCGTCTATGCCGTACAAATCGTCGAAGGATGATAAAGTGCACGATGAACGAACCTGTTGATGGTCAGAAGTCATACAGACCGCTACGGTAGGGGCCTGTTCGTCGGTGGATTGTTCGTCAGTGGCCTGTTTGTCGGTGGACTGTTCATCGATGGTCTGTTCATCGGTGACCGTCGGTGAAATTACGTGGGCATTGATGGGTTTGCTGTCCGGTTGAGGATTTACTACCTTCGCGATCGTGTCGGTCGTCTTCACAGCTGGACAGATTTTCTCCGCCACTGATGGACAAATTTCCGCCACATCCACTGCTCGGCTTGTCGGAAGTGATGTGTCGCTATCACTATTGAAAGTCCACGATCCATCTGAACTCATTACTACGGCAGGTGGGCCGTCAGGTGTTCTCATTAAGTTAAAAAAATGTTGATTATCCATTTTTTTTTTTTTATAAAAACTAGTCTTGACGATATCCAACAAATATGCGTAATTAATAATCGACACGAATTCATAAACAACGTATGTACACAAGAATGAATAGGTACATAGGTATCTATGCCGACAAATGTATAATATTGTATATTAATAATCATTTGTCAAATTACTAGACCGGAGGGCTAGTATTATATTATGATAAATCGTTATTGAAAAAGCCCATTTTTCAAGAGAACAAAATATAACTGTTTTAAAATAACTAACAGTACAATAATATTATAATAGTTGTAAGTTTATGACATTTTTTTTTTACTCGTAAGGTTTTAAGTAAAATAATAAAACTATTAATGACACTGACGTTATTATTATTATACATTTCATCAACTAGTGTTGAAAGATAAACTTTTTTAAAATTTTCCAACAGAACTTGCTTGTACATTTGTGAATAAAATTTATTATAATTAACTTAACAACTTAATTCGATTGATTGTTGATTGTATTTAAGTTTTTTTCGTCAGTCTGAAAAAGATTGCATAATGCGCAATGTTTACATAAATCTATTTGTTTAAACATCGTTTATCGTTATAATCTGCAACTACGTCAATATCTAATGAAGGCGTTGATGATGCCAATTATACTGCCAGTGGTGTAATTGCGGGGGTCAATAGGGGGGCAAACGTATCATTATGCCCCCCCAAATCATCCACATTTAAAAAGTATTCTTAACAAGGCTGTTAACTTCATATTATAATATTCATTTTTTCTTTTCAAATGACTTTATAAAAGATTATATTTATTTTATTTTTCTCTTGCTGAATAATATTATAATGTTGATGTATTGTCAGTGTTACTCTTATCGCAATATTATCAAATTATTCGTGACTATTATTATCTGTGATTCGTGAACGCGTTATTATCTTGAAATAACGTTTATGACTACAGGAGCTTATGACTGAACGGGAGGTTAATTTTAGATCAATAACAAGTAACTGATAATAGTATAATAAAGATAATTATTATATTATTTTGTCTTGCACTCTTGATTATATTCCTGTACAGTTGTACTTGCACCTATTACGACATTATGCATTTATGCTGTATCTCGATAGTCGATAATGTGCTATCCTAAAAAACTGTTAATTTGATAATAGTTTTTAATTACATTTTTTAAAAATATGTCCAATAAACGACAGTTGACATTGGTCGATTTCTTGTCATCGAAATCTAAAAGTTACAAATATCCAGAGCAGTGAGTACCTATTACTTAAGTATTAAATAAATTGTTCAAACCAAAGTTTTTTCTTTTGAAAACTTAACAGAGCCTATGGACTTCCAAACTTACTGGAGATCCTAGAATCTCTAGGGTCATCCAAATACTTTACTACTTTAGATTTAGCGAATGGATATCATCAGCTCCATGTGAATCCAACAACACCGCCTTTTCTACGAAATCTGGTCATTGTGAATATCTACGTATGCCATTCGGGCTGAGTTCAGCTCCAGCAACATTTACGAGCACTATGAAATCTGTTCTTATGGGTCTCGAGGAAATGTGCACTGCATATTTAGACGACATAGTAGTACATGGTTCTAGCCTAAACGACCATCAGAAAAAACTAGAACAGGTCTTTGATAAATTACGCGTACCCAAACTTAAATTACAACCACAAAAGTGCTCTTTCTTAAGTAAGTGAAGCTTGACGGACTAATGATGTTAGCATTAGTATAATAAGTAATAACACGACAATATGATTATGTATAAGTATAATATATAATAACGTACAACTGGACAATTAAACTGTGACAGTACACACACATCGTATACGCTCTGTACAACGACGCCTGTGAAAGTGAATATTACATACATCAAAGGCCCTATATATATGCATGACCGAGGTCATGTTACATCCGTAAAGAGAGTGAGTCTTATGCTCGTACATAACTAGTTACTATATTGTACACACGTGTCAAGGCTGACTACATATACTACATATTAATTGTATATTTCAACACCCTCCCTCAATTAATAATCTCTTTAATTGTAGTCACTCCTATGGCTGACCGCAACTTCTCGAATCGTTCCTTAACCAAAGGCTTGGTTAGAATGTCCGCAATCTGGTCCTCTGTTCCAATGTACTGTAGTTGGAATTGTCCCTCTTCGTATTTCTCCCGTATGAAGTGGTACCGTACGTCTATATGTTTTGTCCTCTTATGAAACTCCGGATTCTTAACTAAACGTATAGCACTCTGATTATCTATAAATAAAACTGGTTGTTTGTCACCTGTTGTTGATAAGCTTGTTATCAACCGTGTAATCCACAAGATCCCTTTGACAGCTTCACTGGCCGAAATATATTCAGCCTCTGTCGATGATAACGACACACAATGTTGTCTCTGCGATGTCCATGAAACTATGCTACCTGAATAGAAATCCTGACGTCGAACGTCGTGTCTGAATGTCACCTGCGTAATCTGCATCGCTAAATATTTCCAATGACAATTTTGTTTTGTTATTAAAGTACAAGCCATTATTAAATGTTCGCTTGATATATCGTATAATCCGTTTTAACAAGTTCCAATGAGCTTTAGTTGGTTTTGCTAAGTAACAACTAGCAAAGTTTACTGCATATGCTATATCTAGTCTTGTTACCTGTGATAAGAACAGTAAGCTACCTACTGCCTGCCTATAAGGAATATCTTCATTCAATATTTCCGTATCTTCTTTTTGTTCAAGCGTATGTGATTTGTCTATTGGTATTGAAAGTTCCTTGGCGTCCAGCATATTAAATTTATTAATTATGCTACATGCATAATTTGTCTGATGCACAAATAATGAACCATTTTTCATTATATTTACCTGCATACCTAGGAAATAATCTAAGTTTCGTTTTTTAACCTCAAATTCTTTCTCCAAGTTTGTTAAAAGTTTATCTATTATTTCTTCATTGTCTGCAGCGATTAAACCATCGTCTACAAATATTTCCACAATAATTCTACCATTATATGCATTGAATACACATGCATCCGCTTCGGTACATTGTAAACCAAATGCATTCAAAAAATTCTTAAAGCGTATATTCCAACATCTTGGACTTTGTTTTAAGCCATATAAACTACGCTGAAGCTTACATACTTTATTCGATCCATCTTCGTATCCTGGTGGTTGTACCATGTAAATTACTTCCTGTAGTTCTCCGTACAGAAATGCTGTCTTGATGTCGAATTGTCATAGTATTAATTTTTCCACAGCTGCTACTGCGAATATCGCCCTAATTGATTCGTATCTGACCACTGGCGAAAATGTTTCATGGTAATCTATACCGTATTTCTGTGAACAACCTTTAATGACCAATCTGGCCTTAAATTTATCGATATTACCGTCACTTTTATATTTGGTCTTGAAAACCCATGCGTTACGTAATGCAACCTTGCCCTGAGGCAAATTAACTAGTGACCAAGTGTTGTTTTTGTGTAGTGATTTAATTTCATCACTCATAGCGTGCTCCCACTCGTTTTTCTGTGGGCCAGCTATCGCTTCATCACGATTTAGTGGTTCAACGAGATTGGCGACGAACGACGACACATTATACCTGATCGGCGCTTTTAACGTATTCCGATCACGTAGCACCATGCCACTCCTGTTGTCGACCGTCGTCAATTCGACCTTGACCGGATCGTCCTCGATTTGAGTCTGAGGATCTGTGAATTCTAATTTTTCTGCAATCATATTTTCCAATTTATTACCTTCGTTTTCGAATATAATATCTCTAGACACTGAAATTCTATTTGTTTTCGAATAATACACACGATAACCTTTGGTATTATAAGAGTAGCCAACAAATATTCCTTTTTCACTTTTAGGGTCCCACTTTTTACGTTTTTGCTTTGGTATGTGTGTATATACGACAGTACCAAAAACTCGTAAGTGTTTAATGTCTGGCATTACCTTATAATATAACTCGTATGGTGAGTTATTTTTAACTGAACTGGTTCCTGTTCGATTAAGCGTGTAAACAGCCGTGTTTACCGCCTCCGCCCAAAGTGATACATCCAAATTTTTCGCACAAATCATTGTCCTCGCAGACTCTACTATTGTACGATTTTCCCGTTCCACTTTTCCATTTTGCTGTGGTGTGTAGGGAACTGTTAACTGATGTCGAATCCCGTGTTTTTGTAAAATACCCTTAATTTCTTTATTTACGAATTCTAATCCATTATCCGTTCGTAATGTTTTGACCGTAGAACCTGTTTCTGTTTCAACACTTTTTATGAACGTCTCAAAAATATTTTTAACATCATATTTATTTTTAATAAAATATACCGTTCTATAATGCGAGTAGTCGTCTTGGAATAACAAAAAGTATTTTGAACCGCCTATAGAGCTTACCTCCATTGGTCCACATAGGTCTGCATGAATTAAATCACCGACATTGTGATACTCCGTATTACTTTTACTAAATGATTTACGACTTTGTTTACCTATTATACAACTGCTACACATGAATTCGTCGTCCTTGGCCGAACATACTATTTCGTGTTTCGCCAAACAACTTTTTACGTATTGTAAATTCTGATGTGCCATGCGCTCGTGCCAAACAGACAACCTGTTTTCGACAGCTACAGTCGCGTACCCGTTTGTCGGTACTTCGACCTTGATGTTTAACTCAAACAACCTTCCGCATCTCTTACCTGAGCATACGGGTTTCCCCTGTTTAGTTAACATACACGTCTTACTATCTGACGTCATTACTAAGCCTTTATCCATCGCGGCTCCGCACGAAAATAAATTAAATTTTAGTCCTGGCACGTGCAACACGTTTGCCATGTAATTTTTATTCCAATTACCGTTTACGTATGATAATATATTAATATTACCTCTTCCTGCTGCATACAGATTTGTCCCATCACCTATAGTGATTTGTTGAGTGTTGTCCAGTGGTTCATAACTTGAAAACCACTCTCGATTCACGCTCATATGATCCGAAGCGCCCGAGTCTAGTACC